AAAGGTGAATTTAATTTTTAAATCACTGGACAGGATCCCCTCTAAAATAAGCACACACATACATACACACATATAGGATATATTATGGATGAAACTTTTTATACAATTTATCAATCCCGGGCAGATGGTCCCTGATTCACATAAACACCTTTTAAAATGCACCCAGCTATTATAGGGTTACAATATTATCATGTAGATAAAATGGCCGGTTCTCAATTATTATTATTATTACATTTATTAGCTGTATTGTGACATGTTGTATCATTGTTTATGGTAAAAATTTATTACTTTTAATATACGTTATCCTATTGTAAAAACCTTTTCGTCTTCCTTCTACTAGTGCTAAAGAATATTTTTTTATTCTACATTATATTTTAAAGAACAACTAGCGATGTAAATGTTATTTATTAATAAATAAAATACTGCAAATGGCAATTTAATATGCTTTATCATTCCAGAATATTTCACCTGTTTTGTTTTTTTTACTTATTACAAGCATTATAAAACAATATTAAAATAAAAAAGTGTACTCAAAGGCAATATTGAGACTGCTTGCTTGTTTAGTTGGCAATAAACCGCGCGGCTGCACTCGATGCAGCCGCGCACAATGCCGGCCACAGGGGCGCCGAGGGTCCCTTATTGTTTGCAAAATATTTTGAAAGCGTCATTTTATACGGCATATTAGCCAGCACTGCGTTTGATAGTCGGGGGACGTCTTCACCGGTCGAAATCATATCATCATTACCGCATTGTAGTTCACCCCGCGGTTCCACCCCAATGCTTGCGTGCTACGTTGAAGTGTTCACAAAGAAGCTTATAAATACTGATAGGTTATTTAAATATAGAGTTTCCAGTGTTTAATTTAATATGAATATTCATAATACAACTGTTATGAAACATTTTTTATATCAGGTAATGATAATAGTATATAAAAAATATAATCATTCAATTCATAGATATGGTACAACGTACTACCTACATACTGACAGATTGGTAATGTAATCACAAAAACGAGACGAGAAAATTGTTACACTAGTGTGCGTATTTTGTATATATACGTATGTGCAAGATCTGAATCTATATGAAATTGAAGTTGTATAAATAGCAAAATTCACGTATTTTTGTTCATTGTAATTTTTATTCAAATTTATGGGTGTTTAAAAGTTTATTTAGGTTAAATTATATGTTTTTCTTTCAATTATTGTACAAAAATTTTCCGATTGTTCTATAATATTACATTTATAGAGATAAATGTTTAAAGAGAAAGTCACCTGAAAACCGTGCACTTTTGTTTACTTTTTTCTAATTTATATTATATCCAGGTAAAGCCCACTTAATACAAATTAACTACATGCACCTAAAATTAATTTTACTTAAAAATGTAAAAAAAAATATTGTTCGTACTCCCACCAAATCAACTTCGACCTTATTTTATGTAGGTGAGTATCTTATTTGTCTGTCTCGCTTTAAAATATATTTTATTATTTTTCTCTCTTATACATTGCCAATCTATATACTTTACAATTTAAGATAAAATTAAACTTTCTTTTATTTTACCTTGCTATTGCAGTTAACGTAACACTCATACAAAATTGTAAAAGTTTACTCGTCTCTCTTAAATGATTTTATTATATTACTTGTGTATATTGTTACTGGAACATGTAGAGTTAGAAATTAAACACAATATTTTGTTATGACCAGGAAACTAAGTTCTAAAAACACACAACATACATATATAGAATATATCGATATAAAATTTTCGCTGCTGAATATAATAAGATAAAATAAGAGATAGTTCAGATTCTTTCCTATGCGCATTGTAACGAAAACTTATGAAATGATACATCCATTTTGTTTGTGTAAATTTTTGTATCATGCTTTGAATGCAACAAGAAAGAGTTTTCCTTCATACATTCATTTGCTATATATCTAAAGGGGTTAGCTAGAAAACTCTTACTATAAACTATCCTAAATAGCATGACAGAGACATCAAATTAAGATATTTTTTACCGCAATAAATTATCTAATATTTCTGTTATTGAAAAATACTTTATACCTACCTTTATTAAATACTATGTCAAGGTATTATTGGTACTAAATAGCAATGATGTGTGACGTGATGTTCTAAAATAAATATTTTAGAACATCACGTAATGTAGCTTATACATACTCGTCTTTGTGTTGCATATGATTGTTTTGACAATTTATATCAAAATTGATTTCCGTAAGAACCTATTTATATTTTATATCGAAAACGTCATGAAGAGTTATTTGCTGTTACAATAAATAATGAATCATAAACACATCATTGTAACAAAATCGATGTAGAACACATGATGACCGAGTTAAAATAATACGAAGTGTCAAAAACCTTTAAATTGACCGTTTAAGCATATTTTAAGCGAGAATAAAGTAATCGTGTTTGTGGGCGGATGGCCGCCGGCAGTTTGGCAGCTCTGCACGGGCCGGGGCCGGCGCGGCGCGCGTCCGACCCTGCCTCAAGGCGCTTGCTCCGATTCATTACATCATTTTATATGTGTATTATCTTCACAGTAATTGCAAACAAATTAACAAGATTTATATGGCGGTGTCCATCTTTCGCTATTCTACAACTAGAATCAAAAGTTGTATGCTTTTTGTTTTAAAACAATTGAAAATTACTTTGTAATCAATCAGGGGGACTGAATGATATTTGGTAATATCACTAACATACGAGTAGTTACCTATTTGTTATTTGTTTTGATTATTTAAATTACTTTAAAATATTAGTTTAAGCGTTACTTTACTACAGAAATCTCTGTCGCGCTTCTTAGAAATATCGAAATGGAAATATGCATAATTTTTTTTTCAATATGTGGCTTAAAGGGATGGACTCTCGTTAAAGATGGAAAATTATCATTTATATCATCAATTAGTATGTTATATTTATACCTCATAGACAAACGTTTTAACAATTAAGTTATAAAAATCCGTCAAGAATAAGTGCTATTTCTTATTTAGTCACTAGACCATTTTATATTATTCTGATATCTTTCACGACGATCGTAATTGAAACGCAATTCTATTTAATGCAATTTTATTTAATAAATTTGTTATAATATTAAATAATTATAATATTATAGTATTGTAATATAACATGATAAAATTTAAGCAAAACAATATTTTTGTACGTACCTAAGGTATTGCCATAATTTAAAATTTAAAGTTAATAAATATTATTTTATGAATGGGAATGCAACAGTTCAAAATAGCTACTGTTGTTTTAATACAAAGTATCATTTTACGCTACTCAATAAAAATATCAGGTTCGCTCTCAGACTGAGCCAGTCGATACTCAGTAGTTCTTGTTAATGTTGCTATTAAGTTCATTTTATGTAGCTAACATTATTATGTCCTAAAAGAAGATAGTTTATATTTATTTATAAATAAAAAAATAGTTATTTGATCTTAGTTATAAATTGTATATTATTTTGACTTCTGTCTATTCATATACGTATTCCTTCAAAAGTAGGTACTAGCTAAATAGATAATGGTGAATATTAACTCAATAAAAGTTATAAAACATTAAGATTTATTTAGGATTATATTTCTGTAAAATATAACCGTAAATTGTAAACAGTGTTAATAATTTAAGTTCTCATTTATTTGCGAATTTATTTTTACTTTTTAATTTAAAGCTACCAAGTCGAGTTTTTGGAAATGCCTATTTTTAGATGTGGATATTAATTATTTGAAATGATGATAATGATATTATTATAATATGTTTAGACTCATTAATGTACAGCTATGTATTTCGATAGATCAGTCAGGGGTCAGCCTTTAGAGAAAAATATCTCCTGGACTTCATTTCTTGAGGTACCTACCTAATGTTAAGACAAATGAAAAAGGAATCCGTAGTGAAATTGTCTTCAAATATCACATATACCTATTACTGTACTACTATATATGGTATGAAATGACCATAGACAAAGTACGTTTTAAAATAATATCCCTCGAAGAAAATATAAAATATCACAAAACTAAAAAATTAATCGTGATGTTAGATTTGTTATAATTAATGTCGTGTGACATTATACAAATTAATATAATGTTAGCTAAAATACGTATTGTAATAAATTGAACAATGGATATATTCATAGCACGCTTATTGCAATATGCGATTAATGACTGCGGGCTTCCAGATTCGTAGAGCTGCTTTATCTGTCGAAGTTAATTTATAGGTCCCCATAAAACAATTCTTCAAACTGCCCACAAAAAGGTAGTATATTCAAAAGGCCGTATGAGATAATAGAGGACGAAGCAGGACAAAAGTCTCGACGCAACACTATACAGTGAACGCAGTAAAAAAATAAACCCATCTGCCTATACGGATTCTTGGACTATTTATTCCCTTAAAAATCGATATTTAAAGTTAAGTACCAATACTTTACCTTATAACAATACGGCAATGTGTGAGAGAGACAAGCATACTAGGAATCGAGTGGTCGGAACTGGACATTTTAATTTATGATATTTTTTTTCTATCTCTAACATTACACTTTGAAAAATGGAGCTCTGACTTGAAATGTTTTTGTGCATACCGAGAAATGGACTTCACAAGTCGACAGACGAGGACATTTATAGGATGCCAGTTAGTTACGTTATTTGTGTTCAGATCGCGTTACAACCATCTCCTTTGACAGTAGTCTGTTGTATTTGTTTTCATTGTGTCAGTTTAGTTATTGTTGAGGCGTGCTCCATGATATCGCAACATTGGACGTTCGTCTGACCCCACAGATTGTTTCTGTAGCCAGCCGCGTGAGGCAGTTCATTATGCAGATCAACATTTGCACGATTTAAAGGCTTTGACATTTACTACTACAGAAAAAGGTACATATCCTTGATAATGACATTAAACCGTGACCAATCAATTCCACTATTATAATCAATTCACTCTTATTCTCATTCACTCTATCTTATAATCACACTGTTATTTTAAGGTATCAAAAAAATATGCTTACCAGTATGTGTCCTCTTGTGTATCTTAAGGTTTTCTGATCGCGCGAACACTTTACCACATCCAGGGAACGGACAGGGAAATGGCTTCTCACCGGTATGCACGCGAATATGATTCACTAGTTTGTATTTCGCTTTGAACGGTCGGCCGTTTCGCGAGCAGCCCTGCCAGAAGCACGCGTGCGTCGTACACTCGGGCCCGCCTACATGTTCCACAGTCAAATGCGTCACGATCTCATGCATACTCGAGAATAGTTTGTTGCACATTTTTCGCGGCGGTGGTTGTTCAGGATCAAGCCACTGACAGCGCATGTCACGCCGCGGCGGTGCGCGCACATATCGGAGGAACGCGTGTGGTGCGTGGGCGTGGGCGTGTGGGACAAGCGGCGGTGCACCGCCTTGATAATGAACATCGCCTCGCCAGTCCCAGCTCTGCTCCAGTGGCTGCTGGGGAAACAGCTCCCCGCAGCCACCGTACTCTCGTAAATATCCTGTTTGGTACGAATGCAGCGGATAAGGTTGGTAGTGTGGAGGGTGGTGTGGAGGCGGCGGATGCGGCGCGGCCACTCGATGTTGGGCGTCGACGCCGCACCCCGGCTGCGGCGACATTTTCAGCCCATAGGAGGCAAGATGCGCGTGGTTGGTCTCGAGGAAAGCGTTCATGGCGGGGGTGGCCGACGCCGGCGCATAGCCCCATTCGCCCGCCACCATCCACGCGGCGGGCACTACCCGCTGCAGACGCCGCCACTGAATGCGTCGTTGTCGACGTCGACTGGCCGAATTTCACCGGCCAAGTTATCGCAGCAATCCTGTTAAGAAATGAAGAAATATATTAAACGATCATTTTTATACTAAAAAAAGTGCTATTATCCGTGCGTATTAAATACATTCTAACCGGAGCCGAGACAAATTCAAAATCGTTTTTCAAAAAAATAATGTACAGTCGTCCACCCATAACCGGCGACGAATATTTTATTCATAATAAAAAAAGTGAAGCAGGTACTTTTGGACATTAAATTAAACTGTGGGTAAATTTATAGGACATTTTTATACGTCTGAGACAAAAATTTCGATTGTGTTCGTGTATATTTAATTTTAGTTTATTTGTTAGGTTGGCTCCAATCTCTTTTATGAGCGAGGTTTAGCATCGATAGTTTATTAAAATAGTTTTATGAATGATAAAACTTGTTCCACCGTGCCTTGCGACGGCGATCATTTTATTACTTTGCAGCCCTCTATTTAATAGGTATCAACCTACTTTGCTGTTAATATTTATTTCTTTTAGTTTGCTTAAAGATTTAGCCATTGCTTATTATGTATCTATATTAATAATTCATGTAGATATGTATATCATTAATTTACCTTATAAACTAGTATCAATGATGATTTGAATAACATCTTCCTATGCCTATAAAGAGTAGCGTACCGTTATACCTACCTCCCTCATTATTGTTATTGTTTTAGTGATGTTATACTATAATGAGTTCGATTCTAACCTAATAAAATGACGATTTTAAATATCAAACTAACTCTCAAATGATGGTAAATAATACTACGAAACATATTATAATGTTAATCAAACATGTCTAGTTATAAAATAATAAAATACGAAGTAAGGAAATGTACTACTATTTAGAAACTTACTTAGAAAATGAATGTTTTTACATTCAGACTTTGACATAAACAACACTTCGATATACACTAACTCATTGATAGGTACAATATGATTTTCTCAATATTTAGATTTCCTCGACTTCTTTAATATATTTTAGTAATCATTTCTTGTGGAGAACAAAACGTCTAAATAATAAAGAGAAAAATAATAAATCTTTGTATAAATAAAATAAGGACATAAATAACTTAGTACAACCAAAAGTAACTTACGAATATCTCACTGGTTAATTTAAAAAATAAAAAGGTTTTAACAAACTAAGTATATCTACAAATCACAACAATACAATAGTGCCACGAATTTGTAAATACTAAACTATGTAAGTTTAGATTAATTTCTAATCTACCTTGTCTAATCTACTATCTAAATAACTAAGTCACACCCAATAAATATATCAGTGCTGTCAATCAAAAGAACTGTAAATTTTTTGTTGGCATCTAATCGCGTTAGTTGAAAATAATGTTGTTTATGTATTGTTTGAAACATTTGAAGCTGGGTAGGCTGGGCACAACAGTCCCAGTCTACCTGAGTCCGTTAAACAATGTCGTTCTTTTTAGATTTCCATCTAATCTTTACATTATCTACGCGGCTCCCCGCGGCGTGGTCGCTTCATCACAAAGCAACGGGTTGACAGATCTCTACAGACAGACATGGAGCAATGGGATTAAAAATCAAATATTCAATCTCTTTAAATCAATTTCGATCTATTATAATCTCTATTCCTTTCAAAATAAAGTTACAAAATTTGTTTCAAACAGTAAACGTAAGTTGGCCGGAATTTTGCAGCTGCCTTATAGATGTTTTTCACAGTTTTAAGGAATTAGTCATAATCACATTAGTATTATTGAGATGTGCAATGCTCAACTAGCTTTTATAATCTATTTAATAAACTAGCAAGTGAATTCTTTCAAATGGAAACTGATTAGCTTAAGTTCCAACTGTAGTTAACTTATCAAATACGCCAATATATATATATATATACAATATATACAAAGTATAATCTATCTAATTTCTTTCTTGGTTTATTCAAATCTATTCAACAAATATTTGAATTAAAATATTAATAAAATTAGTAAAAAATATTATATATTTTGATTAGTTTTACTTGCAACTTTACTGCGTAATCGGGACATATTAAGAGATCGGGATAAAAAGGTTTCCATTAAGTAATTAAATAGAAAATTATGGAAATTAAAACAGCATACAAGTGAAGTGTGAAATTATGTGATAACTATCACCTATAAACATAAACTATGCAATAATTATAGCGCAATAATTGTCAATTCTTAGGCTATAAGTATTTTTATAATTCAGTACTTTTTAATTTATTACTCTAATCATTGAAAGTTTCATGATTTCATGGCCGAAGCACAAGTGAAACAGAGGTGCCAATGATTAATGATTATTAACTATAAATTATAATAAATTCAGGAAATATTTTTTAATTGCTACTCATGCGGGTTCGTTTGATTTGGCCGTGAACTATGAATCTAGCGCAGCTAATACTGTTTATCATAGTTATATGAGAAATATGATAGGCAAAAAAAATATTTTTTTTACATAAGGATGAAAACTTAAACCGTTTAAGTTTTAACTTTTTTACATTTATATTTCATGTCCTATAAATAATAAGAGCATCGTAGTGATTTTTTTATTTCTGTATATTGATGATAAATGCGGTTTGTGAATTAGTTATATCTTTAAGCATACAGAACATATACAAATGTTATAAACTAATAAAATCTTATTTATTTACTTTTATGTCAATTAATTTATTTAGTAAATGTGTTTAATGAAAATTTTAATAATTACACAACAACGAATTGACTAAACGAGTTTTGATTAAACTTAGATTAATTATAAAAATAGTATATATATGTATAAATAAATAATAATAAAATAAATATAAATATAAAATAGCTAAATACATATAAACAGCAGGTATAAAGACAGATCATAGCTATTGTTTGCGATTTTTTATAATCATTGCAAACGTTTATGGCGACGGCATTTAAAGTGGATAGAGACACCAAACACAAATATAGAATACAAATTTAAAATTTCTGTTCTTTTGTTTGAATTAATATTCCTTATTCCTGTTACTTTTCGACTCGAATAATAAATTATCTAAGTACTTTATTTGCTTGTATAAATTTTTTATAAAATATGCTGGTTCTTGTTGTTATATATTATATTAATTAAAAAAAAAAAATTTAAAATGCTGTCTATTGACTTGATGTAATATATATTTTGTTATAATTAATTAGTTTTTTAATTTTCTTAAAAATATACAAATATCAATATATCTAAAAAGATTCATTTTGAATATTAATATCTTCTAAAATACATACCTACATAGCACCATATTTTATGTAATGTGACATAAGTATTCTAAAATAATTTGGAATGTTTACTTAATTCAATCAAATTTCCAGCATACGCATAGATGTAGGTATAGAGGCATTATTAAATACATAAGAAATTATAATAGACAAGTAGATAATATCATCAATATTAAAATGAGTATTACATGTGAAAAAACTGTTTACTGTCTATCCAGTGTATATATAGAGGTAAACGGCTGAATTGTTTTAATATTTAGTAAATCGACTTTTAAAGAGGTGATACAAGTTTCTATAGAAAAATCATATTATTTAATTAGATATATTTAGCATTTGTGTAAAAATAAGTATTATTATTGTTATTTACACTTTACTGCAACAGTTACAAAAATAATGTCCCTATACAATAAATAATTAATATGAAGTAACACAAAAGGCTAACGTGTGGTCCCGGCATAGAATGGGCCACACCTTTCTTTCCCATGGGTGTCATAAAAGACGACTAAAGAAATGTAATGATAATAGTCGAGGGATGGGCAACAGGTCTATCCCTTGACCATTACGTTCCTTACGTTACGTTTCTCTTAAAATAATACTAACAGACAAACTGCTATCAATCCGCCTGCCAAGCTTCTGGCAAAATTCCCCCAATGATAAACTGATATAAGAAATAGTCCCGTTCCGTATGGAAGTCTGTGGAGAAGGTCTATGTTCAACAGTAGACAGGTAATGGCTAATATGAAGATTATGAAACACAAAAGGCGGCGTTACTACTAAACAATAAATATAAACAATATAACATTCATATTACACATATGTAGAATCATTTCCATGAAGGTAAATACTAGCAAGTATTTAATAAATTGAATTATTAATATTAATATTATTAATACTAAAAAAAATGAGTAATGGCTGCATCTGTGTTTACTATATATTACAGGTAAAATGTACATATATCTAAAAATGTTACATATGACAAAGTATATGAAAAAGAGCTTAATGCCTTTAAACGAAATTTAGTACATAAATAGACCTGTCCTATAAACAATTTTCGTGAGTTACAACTTACAGTTTTCACGGGTTACTTTTAGTAGGTATATATATGAAAATATGTTGTAAGTACCATTTAATTCTGTAATTATTTGACAAGGCATCAATGCACTAAGATCTATTATAAAAAAATTGTAGATTTTAACTAAAATTAATCTCAGAAAATACAATTATATTCACAAGATCGTTTATCTAAATATATTCGAGTAGTAATAATTAAATGGTTATCTTTAAGAAAATTTATTATTCCTAATAGGATCCCATATTAAGTAAATATCTTTAAGTACATCTCTAATTAAATATAATTGAATTAAATACAAAAAATTATTAAAATGTTTAAGTAAATAGGTATATGAATTGTTTATTTGAAATTATTTAGTCTCTAATATATGTCGAAATTAAAAAATAAATCGTACTTAGGTATAAAATAAGGCTGTCACTTAGTCAATTTAATATAAAAGGCCCAAAAAATCTTCATCTTCTTTTCTTAAAGAGAGATAAGCAGAATTATTTATAGTAAAATTATTAATACCTAATCAAAATAAAATATTAGTTATAGATATTATACTGTTTTAATTACACCTTATTTGTATCCATAACCATCGCATGACCGAATATTAGATTGGTTAGGTAGGTTCATGACTGACATTATTTCCCAATATTGTTTACATATTCAGAAGCTTGATATTAGGATATAACTAATTGTCTTATTACAGATAAATTTTCGGGAACACCTTGTATTACATAACAATTTATTAGTTGAATGTAAGGTAAACTATTACTTTATGTTAATGTTACCCATATATAATACGTTAGGTATATATACAGATACTTTTTCCATCTTATAATACCTATATATTAGGGTTATTATGAATATTATAAGTAATGAACTTGTTAGAAATAGAGACAGGTAGGTAGTTATTAGTGTAGAGATACTCCTATTATTCTGTTGCATTAATAATAAATAAAACAAATAATATTCTTATTATTATTTATGTAAAAAAAACTTACTTCGTGACGTAGAGTAATCCACTGTTCAAGTGCTAACGGAGCTGAATTGTAATCACTAGTTGTTTCTACAACACATGAAAATATAATACACTGCACTGAACGTATAGTATAGGTGTGTAAAATAAATTTCAGTATCCTCATGTAACTACAATATTTATTATCGCTTCGATTGGCGCGTCGTTATAATAACCATCTCGTCTCGTATTCACAGCCGTATTCTGTGTTGTTGTCGCGCCCTGTCCTCAACATAAGTTTTTTGGACAAATTGTCACGCAACGATTTTTTCTCGCAACGATGAAAACCTTCGCGACGTGTGTCCACTGACTCCGCTGAGGTTCTCAGCATGACTGCGGGCTCCCGCGTCGCCGCCCCTCGACACAGCCGACATACTGCTTCTTAGAAAATATTTTGTACGAACGGGCCCGAAGGTGCGAACGCAGCCTTGCGCGCCAGAGAAGGGCGGGACGCCGGCGACTTTTTCATCCAATGGTGCCGGTTTTGAGGCCGGAACCCTAATCGAATACCGTCTCTTTCGCACCAACGCAGTTTGCCATCAGACGATAGAAACCGATAATCTATTCTGACGAAGCAAGAGTGTAAAGAAGAAAATTTCTTTGTGTTGGTGTGATAATGCGTTCGCTTTATCAGATTTACGTTGAAAGCTCACTGTTAGCTTTAGAAGGCGCCATCTATTGCTTTCCTTTCTAGTATAGCGGTAGATCCGTATGTGCGAGTAGGACGACAGTGAGCCGGGAAATGTTCCGGCTAATGTATTTTCCTGTGGGAAGGAAAACATATGTCGTCGCTTTTAATTTAATACGCGTCACGCTGCGATCTCGTGTAGCGCTCATGCGTAGCTTATTTTTCCGAGACCTTTTGGTACTCTACAATTACGCTAGTTGATTTAAGAAAGTTGTTATTGCGTGTCATAAATAATACTGAATTGTTCGTTAACTGTAATTTATTGAAGTATGAAAACTTTCACAATTAATGGGGCCAAGAAAATGGGCGATAAAATATTATTCTCTCATTTATTTACAGTAAAGAAAATTTTCAAGTAACTTGTATTCAGTAATACACTATAGACATATCTACTTTTATTTATGTACGTTATTAATTTTTATTTATTTATTATTAGCCGTATTAAAAAAAGAGTTTGATACAAATGATGGACTTAATGCAATTTCTCTCTATATTTAATTAATGAATTGTAATTGATTAAGTTTTCATCAATTGATTTATCCACTTATAAAGTTTATTCAATATTCGAATGTACTTACTGATTGTTATACAAGCACTTAATTTATTTTAAAGTCGTAGATTAAGATGCAAGATCAATAGTATGGACCAAAAAGGATATTGAAGATCGAGAAAAGTGGAGGATATTGAGTCAGAATGTAGACTTGGCAAAACTCAGGATTAATAACACCAGGCAAAAAAATTAAATATTTTCACCTTCGTAGATATAAATTGCCATGGGGTCCGGCGTAGAATTGGCCACCCCTTCTTTTTCAGTGGGTGTCGTATTGGCAACCTTCCCCCCTCCCCACATATCATTGAATATTATAATTCGTTTTTATACCTACATACATACCAGAGCGAATATTGTACGTACAAAGGTTATCTGCATGAGTATCTCTATTTCATCCATACTTCTGTCCTCCTGCAACTGTGTTGTTTGACGGCATTCGATTGAAAATATGGCATTTAAATTACTGGGCGTAGAAAACAACAACTCAGTCGACAATAATGGCAAAGCAGGAAGGATAGCATTGGCGTTGGTACGACCCTTCCTGTAAGACCTGTCTATAGGTGATAATTATTACATTCCATCAGTTGAACCATTACCTCATTTGCCATTCGGAATTGTTTGAAAAAACTTAACATGACTCCATAACCAGCACACTTCATATACCCGGCACTACCTTTATGCTTTTTATAAATTAATCCACGAGCAATTAACATTCCGTGCCCAAGAGCGCCACGCCAAATATAATTGGAATAATTAATTTGACATTCTTGTGCTCGTGCTTAATTATTTTGTAAAAAGTAACATTCTACGTGAGTGTATTGGAAAAAGGCACGCCCCCACTGGCCGAGGCGCGATTGGCTGCCGCAGAGGCTCTCAAGCGCCGCGGGGCGGGGGCCGCACGCTCTCGCGCACATGTTTTTTTTTATTTTCATTACCATTTATTTTCATCCACTGCACGAATGTTCGTGATTAATTTAATATATCCTCGCTGAGATACTTTTCTCACGCGATATGTGGGTTTTTTGCTATCGCCCTACATTGTTAGCAGTTAACGTTGGATCTACAGACGATCAGGTTTCCTATGACAGTAATGAAGCATTTACCGGTGGTTAAGTCATGACTTCGCTAATTAGTTTGATAACTGTAACATGGTGTTTTGTTTTTTGCACATTGAGTGTTGATAGAGTAATTATAATGATCTATATCCTTAGTTAGCTGCTTTATATATTAATTATTTTATTACAAAATACGCAATAAAAAATATTTAAATTAACAAATCATTACCCAAATGTCTATCCTTTTATGGAAATTAGATTTAATTGGAAGGTTTTAAATGGTATGATTGCTAGTTGTATCTAATCTGGAAATAGGCTATTGAATTATTTTTTACTTTGAAAAACTCCTGTAATGATAGGTGATAAATTAAGTTTTTATTAGTGTACCAAATAGGCGACGTGCTGAAGAAGGGCCAAATTAAAAGTACCCGTAACCGACGAGCGTGTATGACAAGATTGATGAATGTGGAAGAAGCGAAAGAGGTTTGTTTGAATCGAAGCATTTGGCGTTCCATTGTTTCTGCCTACCCTAATGGGAGACAGGCGTGACAGATATGTATGTATGTATGTATGTCTTGTAAGTATTCAAGTAAACTCCAGCATTAAATTAAACTCCAGCAGTTTTACCATATAAATACTTATAACACTGTTTGTTTAGTATTTAACAATATCTTGTCTAAGTTATTAAATATTTTACATTTATTTATTACTTTTATCATCTTTTATTTTTAATAACATATAACTTCTTTTATTTAGACATAAACAGATGTCAGAAACGCTTCTGTAGTGAGTCGTCTAAAAATATATTGAACACTTGTTTATCTAAGTTTAATTTATTTGTGGTAAGACGGTACCTGTTTTATTTAATGACAGCGGAATCAAATTAAAAATAATAATAATTAAATAACAAGTTAATCAATACGCCACCTTAAAATACGATTAACAGAATTCAATTTAATCTTACAATCACCGCACTGATCAGATGACTTAGCTTAAGGTTTAGATATTAAGAGATTTCCTTCGCTCGACGTGATTAGCGTTGTATTATTTTTCCATTACCACCTAAATATCCAAAATATTACTAAACGTCATATTTTTTTTGTTTCGTTTTATATTAAAGGAAAATACGTAGTAAATTAACTAATAAAAAACGATAGCCGAATAAATCTTAAGTAATAATTTATTTTAAATCTTAGTACATTTTTATCATTTTATTGTTTCTACTTATTACTATTATTGTTAGCAGAAAATAGACATATCTAATGTAATATATCGTCATAGTCGTAGAATATTGACGGATTTTTATATGTAATCTTTGTAAGATCCGTCAGTATTCTACGACTATGACGATATACTCGTAAGTAATACATTACATTATGCCTACACGGTTTCTGCTAACATTTGCAGAAAGTCTCTTGCAACTGCTTGCTTTTATCTTACTTATTAATATTATCACCAAGCTAGCCAAGTATCACGATTTCAAGGATAAGATATGTATGTAAATTATAGTATTGATTATCAAAATTTATAAATTCAATAAAATCATATTGAAAATATCTTTCATAGAGAAATATTATTAAAATATGAAGATCATTATCATATCAGCCATGAATTGTCGACTGTTGAACATAGGCTTCTCCTATAAGTGGAAGGGGGTTTGCTAGTGGTTGCCATGCTTGGCAGGCGGGTTGGTAATTATTATTAGGTTTGGCGATGTTTTAAGAGGGATGCTGCTACAATCCTTCAAGCATTAAGTTCCTTTTGTCGCCTCTTGCGACACCCACGGGATAGTGAAGGGTAGCCTATTCTATGCCGGGACCACATGGTAATGAAAACATATTTTAATAGTAATAGATACTAAATGACTGACAAGTTTCAAAGCTGGCGGAACTTCAATCAACAATTTCTTAACTGTCTACTTATAAATAAAAATGTTTACCTTTATAGACATGAAGGGTATATAGGTGAAACAGTTTACTGTGTAATGTCTATGTGCACTGTTCATGTCTATAGGCGATGGTTACCATTTTATATTAGGTGGGTCGTTAACGTGTTTATTATTCTAAATTGCATAAAAAAAATCCTTCATTTTGTGTAATACATAACCATTTAATGTTTTCGACAATGGGAACTACCTACTTACATAGCAGGAATAAAACAGTAGGCATTCATTTAGCGAGCTCACATAATAGCACCCTCCTTTCCCTAACACCATGTTGCGGGTTCTGTAGGTATTTCATTATAATAAATAACGTTATTATTTATTTGGGTGTTTTGGGAGTGATGCTAGCTACAAATTACCATGGACAATGCCACCGCGGGACACCGCTCCTATTAAGAGGAGCCCACCAGATGGCGGGTTGAGCACCCCTGTTCGTATATAAACAATATTAAATTAAAAATTATTTAGAGTTTTATAAAGTAATGACAAAATCCATATGTTATAACAGATTAATATAGAATACTGTTATAGAATTCCAATAAGTAAATAATTCGGACAAAAAAAAAGAGTTTTGTTATAAACATTAATGATTATGCTGTTTGGTTATCTTTGGCTCAGTTTCCTATCGTCAAGCAGCTACTTGATGAACCATAGGCGTAGATGTATCTTCTTCTTCCTGTTCTTTTCTCATAGCTCTTTTGGGTCGGCGTAATATATTTTCTTTTCCCATTCATTTCTATTTTCAGCCATCTCTTTCTGAATCTCATGTTACCTTTCATACAGTCCATTTATCTCTTTCTGGATCTTTCTCTGCACTTATAACCATTTACATTCATTTAGTCATAATACCTTTCTTATTACATTCTTTACTTCCCTGCACATCACATGCCTATACTACGACAAACGACTACCTACTTCTCAACTTCTCCATTACTGGTGCTACCTTCAAACTTTCTTTTGTCTACTCATTATTTGATCTTATTTATTTATATCACACTACACACTCATCTACACACATTCGCATCTCAGATATATAAAGTCAACTTTCATCCTCGCTGTAAAAGTGAGGATAAAAGATGCAGGGCCAGCACTCAAATCCATACAACAGGCACACATGCACGGTCGTTAAAA